GTTTGTGAGATCTTTTTGAAGTTCTTCGGTCTCCTTTGGTCTTAACTATCTTGAGCAGTTTAGTATCATCTGCAAACTTTGCCATCTCACTGTTTACCCCTTTCTCCAGATCATTTATGAATAAGTTGAATAGGATTGGTCCTAGGACTGATCCTTGGGGAACACCACTAGTTACTCCTCTCCATTCTGAAAATTTACCATTTATTCCTACCCTTTTTTTCCCTGTCTTTTAACCAGTTCTCAGTCCATGAAAGGATCTTCCCTCTTAACCCATGACAACTTAATTTACGTAAGAGGGACCTTGTCAAAGGCTTTCCGGAAATATAAGTATACTATGTCCACTATGTTCTTATGTTCTTATGTTATGTTTGTTGATCCTTCAAAGAACTCTAATAGATTGGTAAAACACTTCAATCTGTGATAATTCCTCAGATTTGTCACCTACAAAGGACGGCTGAGGTTTGGGAATTTCCCTAACATCCTCAGCTCTGAAGGCTAAAGCAAATTCATTTAGCTTCTCCCCAATGACTTTATCGTCTTTAAGTGCTCCTTTTGTATCTCGATCATCCAGGGGTCCCACTGGTTGTTTAGCAGGCTTCCTGATTCTGATGTACTTAAAAAACATTTTGTTATTACCTTTTGAGTTTTTGGCTAGCTGTTCTTCAAACTCCTTTTTGGCTTTTCTTATTACATTTTTACACTTAATTTGGCAGTGTTTATGCTCCTTTCTATTTACCTCACTAGGATCTGACTTCCACTTTTTAAAAGATGACTTTTTATCTCTCACTGCTTCTTTTACATGGTTAAGCCATGGTGGCTCTTTCTTAGTTTTGTACTGTGTTTTTTTTAATTTGGGGTATACATTTAAGTTGGGCCTCTATTATGGTGTTTTTGAAAAGTGTCCATGCAGCTTGCAGGGATTTCACTCTAGACACTGTATCTTTTAATTTCTGTTTAACTAACCTCCTAATTTTTGCATAGTTCCCCTTTTTGAAATTAAATGCCACAGTGTTGGGATGTTGAGGTGTTCTTCCCACCACAGGAATGTTAAATGTTATTATATTATGGTCACTATTTCCAAGCGGTCCTGTTATAATTACCTCTTGGACCAGATCCTGCGCTCCACTCAGGACTAAATCGAGAATTGCCTTTCACCTTGTAGGTTCCTGTACCAGCTGCTCCAAGAAGCAATCATTTAAAGTATCAAGAAATTTTGTCTCTGCATTTCATCCTGAAGTGACATGTACCCAGTCAATATGGGGAGAATTGAAATCACCCACTATTATTAAGTTCTTTATTTTGATAGCCTCTCTAATCTCCCTTAGCATTTTATCATCACTATCATTGTCCTGGTCAGGTGGTTGATAATAGATCCCTACTGTTATATTATTATTAGAGCATGGGATTACTATCCATAGAGATTCTATGGAACATGTGGCTTCATTCAACATTTTTGCTTCATTTGATTCTACATTTTCTTACACATATAGTGCCACTTCCTCCCCTCTCCTCTCTCACCCCCCCTCCGCATGACCTGTTCTGTCCTTCCAATATATTTTGTACCCTGGAATGATTGTGTCCTCTTGATTATCCTCACGCCACTAGGTTTCTGTGATGCCTATTATATCAATATCCTCCTTTAACACGAGGCACTCTAGTTTACCCATCTTATTATTTAGACTTCTAACATTTGTCTACAAGCACTTAAAAAACTTGTCACTGTTTATTTGTCTGCCCTTTTCTGGTGTGTCAGATTCTTTTTTATGTGAATGTTTCTCACCATATCCCATAAATGGTCTGTAAGGGTGTGGACTCACCCCTGCAGCGCCTCCTGCTGGTTGTCCTCGGGAATTAGCTCATCCCAGTGCCAGAGCACCCTCTGCAGGCTGGTGATCCACCATACCTCACTCTGGCCCATGTGTCCCTCCCAGGACCTAGTGCCCCTTCACTGGGTTTCTGCCCCCCTTGCAGAACCCCTCAGTCCTGGGTCTCCCCCTCCCAGGGGAACCCCCACCCACTATCCCCACTTTGCCTCAGTCTTGGCTACTGCCCAGGCTCCATCTAGCCCCCATTCACTGGGGCAGACTACAGTATAAGCCACTTATCATAGGCAAAGGGGTTTGGGCCTGCTGCCTCTGCCTACCCGTGGGCTGCCCCTTTGCAACCCCAGTACCCAGTTGGCCTTACCCTAGGCCTGCAGTCTGGGGGGTTTCCAGGCCGGAGCTCCCCAGCTCCTCTTGCCTTCCCCCAGCCCTGCTCCACCTTATGTACCCAGGTACGCTCCCTAGCAGCCAGGCCCTTCTCCCTCTAAAGGCAGAGAGAGAGTGTTTGTTCCTGGCTTCCCTGGCCTTCATAGGGCCAGCTGGGTCTGTTTGGGGCGTGGCCACAGCTGAGGCTGTTTTCCCCCAATCAGCCCAGCTTTTCCCCTGCCACAGCCCTCTCGAAGGGCTGTTTCAAGCCCTTCCAGGCAGGAGCGGATGACCACCCCACTACATGGTCCAACATAGTCAATGAGGATTTGTTGGCTCTCCCCAGGATGCAAAAGAGTATGTTTAGATTCATGATTTTCCTGACAAATCTTGACATTGTTTTGCCATTTACTCTATGTGTGTATCAATCCCTGCCATCACACTAAACTCATGTAATTCTTGCAGTATGGGTGACCTGTGTTTCGTAGAAATAACCACTCTGGTGCCACACATTAGGCAATATTAATATAGTTTTAACTGTTTTTAAAGCAAAGAATTCTGGAACCAGAAGTTTGTGTGTCTAAGTCCAACCAATCATAGTAATGTCATACACTACAAAACAATATGATGGTATAATTTTCAAAATGCTTTTTGGGAAGAGAAAAAAAAGCCAGCTTTTAAAGGGGTTTTTAATAGTAAACTTCCAAAAAAAAAAAAAAAAAGACTGAGTTCCCCATCTGCCACCAAAAAAGTGGTGTTTTTATGCTGCCATGAGTTCAAAATATTCTATCCAATTTCAACCATATTTTTTGAGAATAAAAGCTCATATACTAATGGCGTTCCTGCTCAAGGTGATTTGTATCTGCAAGTTCAAAAAAGGTGTTATGGAAATCCTGAAACACAATTCATTCCAGCTGTGGTAACACTACTGATGTAATAATTTGTGATGAAAAAAATACTGTCCACAATATAGTGTTTCTATAAATGCTTGATGTCACTGGAAAGTAAGTTGTGCTATCTTAAAGCTGACATTTTAGGGAATATAATACGTAAAGCTTAAACTAAAGAGAACCACCCTATGATTTCACCAGTTGTGAAATTATCTGAACTATCCACTATCTATGTTACATATATGCTCATAGGAAATTCTAATAGTTTTCGCTTTTATTTAAAAGTACTTATGGAACAAATGTTATGCCCACATATATTCACCTCAATAAGCATATGGTGGTGAAATAAATTAGACTAAGGACCTACCCAGGGGTAAAATTAGGTTGTATAGGCATGAATGCTACCAGAGCTATTGAATTCAGTGTACCCTTTACCATGTAGTTCTTAGTGAAATGACAATAACATGGTACCTTAAGCAAGTTATTGTGTGAAATCAGTAAGGTCCATCCCAACTGTATGTCAGTGAAATCATTTCATCCTCATAAGCTGATTTTGAACCATTAAGGCAGTCTTTAACTTTGCAATGTGCTTAGTCACTGCATTTCCCTCAGTAATTTGTCTTCGTTGGAAGCAGCACTCAACCACTTTTAGTGCTTATTTCTGTTAACAAGAATGTGGTCTACTTTAATACAGCGTCAAACAAAACCAGAAAGAGTCATGTGGATGATTGCAAGAGAAACTGGAGCAATACGTAAACGGGTGTCAGGTAGATGAGAAATTTAAATGAGGGATGAAATGCACTGTACATGACCACTCAGATGGAAAACAAAATGTTCAATTTCAGACAGACCATTTCTGAGGCAGCTGAATAGGAATCATAACAGAAAAGTCCAGGATTAATCCAAAAGATCTCCCTCATTTGCAATTCTGGGTATTGGATTGAAAATCAGAAGAAATATGAGTTAAGTAATCAGGAAGTAACTGAAATTTTCACTGAAGGGGCTGTGCTATGTTGAAATCCTAATCTTTTGCTGACAAGACAATGCATGATATGAAAGATTGAGTTAAACTACACAAGCCTCCTAAAAGCTTGGATAGAAAGTTGCTCAGTTGGCAGGGATACTAATAGGTCTAAAAGCCTTGAAGCTCATTTTAGCACCTTCTGCTTTTCTTGGAGGTGACCTCCAGTTATTACAGTAGGAACTGATTGTTTACAAAATGTTTGCTACTTCTCTGTATGGAACATTCCATTGCATAAGCATATTTCTCATTTGAATCTTGTTTAATATCCACTCCCCGTCTTGTATGACTTCTTCTGCAGTGCTCAAACACCTTCACATATTTATCTTCAAACTTGGGTTGGAAGCCCAGTTCTAATTACTGGGGGTTAATAGTGAATTTTCCTTAGGAGCTGGTTATCCCATAAGTGCCAGCTGCAGGGACCACTGGTCTAATTCAGTATGGCAGTTCTTATATTCCTATGTTGAATGTTAAAACTGTTAAGCATGTATTCTGTTCTGGTTCTTTCAGTCAGTTTTTTCATATCTGAGTCTGCCTCAGACACCGTGATCCTGACTACAGTAAGACTACACATGGAAATAAAGAAATGTATATTAATAAAACTATCAGCAGATTGGACTCTTAACACTTTAAACATATGGAGGCTGGGCTGTATATTTATGTCCTGTACATCCCTGAGCAAGTTGCCAGCATTTAATAATAATGCATGTTACAAGATCTCCATTTGTGAATGACTGCACCACAACTAAAGTGGTGCATAGTTTGTCTGGGTCTTACCCAGGAAGGGCAGCTTTGCTTTATGGGGGGGCGAGGGGGGAGGAAGGAGGTCAGAAACTGCTGTAAAAAAGGTGCTCGGTGGTCAGCTTTGCAGCAGTGACTCACCCCCCTCCCCTGGAATGTGAGGTCCAAAGAGCATAAAGGTATGAAACCTGGGTGGGGCAAGTCTCTTTGTTCCACACAGTGAGTAAGCCAGCAAACGGGATCAAGAAGCAGCATGGCTCCAGGGGCATGGAAAAAGGGTGAGTTCCGGAAAAAAGGGGGCTGTTATTACCCCCGGATCCCAGATACAGGGAAGGGCAGGTGGAGGCAAATTACAAGTAGGACACAAGGGGTGTGATTTAACAAGTGAAGCTGCTGCTCGGCGTCTGCTGCAGTCACAAGACAGCGTGGCTTGAGGCTCATGCAGAAAGGGGAGAGTGGAAAGAAGGGGAACTAGCATCCCCCTGCCCCAGGTACTTCCACCCATAGGCAGGCTGGAAGCTGCAATCGGGGAGGGTGAATTGGCAAATGAAGCTAGTCAGCCTCTGAAACAATCAATGTGCACTGGGAGGGGAAGGCAAGGGAATGTAACTGTTTCATGCACCAGCCGTGCTGCAATTAGATGTTTGGGCTATCAGGCTGCAATTCTTTCTGGCTGTGAGTAGGTTGCTGCTCAGGTGTCTTTGCTGAAAAGGGACAAGCAGAGGCAGCAGCTGCAGTAGAGGACAGTCTCAATGGAGCCCAAGGGCTAGAAGGAGACCCAAGGGAGACAGTATTGCAGCAGGGGGTGCTCACCAGTACGGGGGCTGCTAATGCCCAGGGTGGTGTGCTTAATAACCCACGGCAGTCTCATGGACTGAGGAAGGGAAATGACCAAAGGGAAGGTGGGCAGGCTGTGTGCATTAATGGGGTAGTCAGTAGGGCTGTGCAGCAAATGTTTAGTGAAGTTGTTTCTGAGGTTTTCTCCACAGCATTACAGCGCTTCCAAAGGGCAGCAGGGCACCCAGAATCAGGATGTTTTCCTCCATTGAACACAAGGGATGGCAGTAATGCTGACCCCAAGGGTGAATGTGATCTGAACCACACAGAGGTTGGGGGGATGGGTGGCAAAGGTAGCAGAGCCTATTGAGGTAGTAAATACTCTAGGCCCAGACAGACAGGGAGGTCCAGAAGCCTGGGCAGAGTCACCTAGGAGTGGCACCTTCAGTGTGGGCACTGATGGTATTACATACCTGCTGCAAGCTAATCTGCAATTACTGCAGCAGCTTCAGGCAGCTAGGGGTGCGGGGTCTGCACAGGGTGATGGGTAGGCCCAGCATGGGCTCAAGTTTGGGCAGGACGGGGCAGGTCTCCGGCAAGGGTAGCGAAGTCCCTGTTGGGTATGAAACCCCTGGGCACATGGGGACTCATCGGCCATCAGGGCATGTAACCTCATGGGACAGAGTAGAGACTCCTGGGGGTCTCTGGGGGAGCAGGGCTCTCCAGAACTCCCTCCATGCAGTCCTGAGTATGGTTCTGCTGGGATGGCTGACCTGATGGGAGTTCACTTACTGAGTGCAACTAAAGATAAAATCCTGGGAGGCGAATACGTGGACATATTATCCCTATTGCATAGGGAGGTGTTGACAGACAGTAAACATGGGCAAGGCAAGCAAAAAACGAACTGCCCAAGAGGCCAAGGCTGCCTAGAACATGAGAAAATTGGGAGGCTGCCTTCCTCATCTATGCAGGTGTTATAGTACAGGCCTACCCAGAGAGGATCCCTGCCTTGGTTAAGTATATGGACATAATTAGGTGGGCACACAATATGTTTGGGGGCATGTCCTTATTTAATTATAATGAGCAGTTTCAATTAATGGCAGCAACCCAAACTGGGATAAGGTGGGACATACCTCATCACACACTGTGGTTGGAGTGGATGACACCAAGGGCACCAGGAGTTCACACAGACAGTGGTTTGTTCATACCACAGCAAGCTTGGGAGGGGCCCCAGGCACGTAATAATATTTGCTGGGCAGTTAATGATGGTGGTGGTTTTCGCAGCACCTGTAGATACAGGCATGTTTGCAAGACATGTTTTGGGACTCATTCAGCCTGTTCTTGCCAGAGCGGAAAGTGAAGATCACAGGGAGGAAACAGGAATGGGGGTGGCGCAAGCGTGGGTGGAGCAGGGTCTGGGACACAGAGCACAAGCTGGGGAGGAGGACGAGCTGGGAGTGGTGCAATGGGCACGGGCGCCAAGGCCAGTTAGGCCGGATGTGCTAGGGTAATCCCATAGGAGAACCCTTAACAGGGCAGATGGGGCATATTTGTGGGAGGGGTTTACAGCAGGATTTTGGATCCCTTTTGTGGGAAACAGGACTCATTTGATGTCAAAAAATTTAAAGTCAGTAGCTGGGAGGGGACATATTGTTAAAAAAAAAAGATTGCACACTAATTAAAGGAGGGCAGGATAGCTGGGCCATTTGATCAGTTACCTATAACACATTTAAGAGGTTTCCCCCTGGGGTTGGTCCCCAAGAAGACCCCAGGGACATACCAATTAATTCATCACCTGTCATACCCGTTACTGCCAATGCACCCATTGGACTTTGACCTGTTGGGTTTCTGTTTTGAGGGGCAATTTTATTTTGACAAGACTATGGCCACGGGCTGTTCAGTATCTTGTGCAGCTTTTGAGAAATTCAGTACAATGTTGCACTGGGCAGTGGTGCGGTCAATGGGACTAAACCAAGTAGTGCATTATTTGGATGATTTTTTGTTTGCGGGGCGAGCTGGGTCAGATGAGTGTGTTCGCCTGTTGGACACATTTCAGGCCCTGGCTAAAAAGTTGGGGATACCCCTAGTGGAGGAGAAAACAGAAGGCCCTTCCACTACATTGACCTACCTGGGCATTCAGCTGGACACCAGGGAGGGTGTATCTCGGCTCCTTCAGGATAAGTTTCAGGAGCTATTGGGGTTGCTGCAGAGAGCAGTGGGAGCTAAAAAACTCATGCTACAGGAACTGCAATCTTTTCTGGGGCACTTGAACTTTGCTTGCAGGGTTGTTGCCCCGGGGCGGGCGTTTTGTGCCTGGCTGGCAGCGGCAACGGCCGGCATAGCCAGGCCACACCATTACATATGAGTCACTAGAGAGATGAAGGAAGACTTGAGGGTGTGGGAAAGTTTTCTGAGTCGATTTAATGAGGTATCATTGTGGAGGGAGGAATGGTTATTACAAGGGGGGTTAAAAATCCACTCTCATGTAGCAGGGGGCACAGGTTTGGGGGTGTTTTATCAAGACAAATGGTGTGCACAAAAAGGCCTGCCACCTGGACACAAAAACGGGGTTGTGCGTGACATGACCTTCTTGGAATTTTTCCCCATTTTAGTTGCAGTGGTGATTTGGGGATCGGAGCTGGCTAATAAAAGGGTGTGCTTCTGGTATGACAACATGGCAGTGGTACAGGTTATCAATCACCAAACTTCCAGATTGCACCGGGTTATGAAGTTGGTAAGGGCGTTTGTTCTACAATGTTTAAGCTTCAACATCTGTTTTTGTTTCAAGCATGTGCTGGGCCTGGATAATGGCATAGCAGACGCCTTGTCTCGTTTCCAGTTTGACTGATTTCAAGAGCTTGCACCAGGGCAGATGAACCTGAGCAGATGCCGCTGGCTTTCTGGAACCTCGGAATATGATGTGGTTGGCGGAATGGAGATTTTTGGCTCCAGGCTTACAAGTTGTTTATTTTGTTTTCTTTTAAGAAGTCTTGTCAATTCAAGGATCCAGAGAATGGGTTGCCTACATTGACCTACCTGGGCATTCAGCTGGACACCAGGGAGGGCGTATCTCGGCTCCTATACGACCCTCCGTGGAGGGCGGTTGTTGCAGTACCGGTCAAGGACAATACAGCTGCTGGTGCTCCTTGAGGATTACACAAGGAACAATGGGTTCTTCCTCCCCAGAGGACATTTGGAGATGTCTGGGAACCCAGCGGGGTTGCAGGGGAGGCAGCAGCAGGGAGCCAACCCCCCCCGATTCTCATAGCCCACCTTAACCCTTTTACGAGGGTGGTGGATGGTAAGTTCCAAGCTATGGGTTGGCTGGGGGACCTGGATGGAAACAAAGGGGGGCTGGTGGAAGCCCCTGATAATTTATTTGAATAAGCATGGATTAGACTGCACTGTACACTTTATCTGCCGGGTAGTCCCAGACATCTATATAATAAAGTTGCGGCCTGATTAAAATCCATAACAAGTATCTCCTGTCCTTGCGGTGTACCCAGACAATGAATGACTTAACATTCCTCACTTTGATCCTCGCCCACTACTGATAAATAACTGGGTGCTGATTTCAGAAGCATCTCCAAAAAAAACCCCAAACATTTTACTCACAGCTACATCCATGCAATACCATGAATAGCAATTTTTAAATGATTTTCACATGAATAGCAATTTTTAAATGGTTTTCAATTACCAGCTGAGGATACTGTCTGAATCACCACCATAAGTTGCATAAAAACAGATTCTATTTTCTATTTAAAAACCTAGTAATTCATCTTGTTTAATAAAAGACACAATACATATTCATTACTATTCTTCCAACATGGAAGACGTTCAATAAACGATTGCCTCTCATCAGCCATCACCTCAATAGTGGTGTTAGGACTGTACATCTAAATCTCAACCATTGTGGAAACAGTTATGCAAAAGACTTCCAGAGAAGATGGTTCCTGACTTCATAATAGGCTGAACCCAAACCCCAGATCTAAACACCTGTTAATTTGGGAGTGTTAGAAAACTGGATTGGGATCTGAATTGTGTGTCTTGGGTCCATCTTCATCCCTTTCACACCATTATAGGACCTGTCTTCTATCCATGCTGACTAACAGAGGGGATAATATGGAGAGCTTTTTTTTCCACTTCACAGTTCTGATGGTGCCACCAAGGGGGTTTTATGGGTTGCTGTACCCCTAAGGGCAGGAAATCATCAATAGGAGACTTACCCAGTGTCCCTCTGCTTTGGCTGTAATGGGTTTCAATGGCCTGGGTTCTTAGGTACTAAGAGGTAGTGCCTCTACATGACTGCTTAAGGGATTCAGGAGTCCTACCATACCAACTGCCCAATAAGCAACAAGTAATTCCTGTGCAGAGTTCTAACATGTCTCCTTCCTTCTTCTCTCTGGAGCCAATGTATTTCTGAACAACCTCATAGGATTCTGATTTCTATTTGTCTTCCAGCTTGTTCTTCGCTTTTACTCCCAAGTTCCTTATAAAAGCCCAGTCACCTGGAAGTAGTTCTTGCTCCCTTATGCGCCTGTCATGCCAGGTCTTATTCTGAGTTGCAGTCTTTGCTGCTGCATCTGTAGACAGTCGATAGGTGTTCATCAGGTGTTGCTTTAATTATGTTACATTTTGAAGATATGTCTCAGAGCCTCCTTCACCTAGAGTCACTCCAAAACAAATGTTCACAGGTATTCTCACTTCTCTCCCAAACATTAGGTAACAAGAGGAGAATCCATTAGCAATGTCCCTGATACAATTATAAGCATGAACTAGTTGTGAAATATGTTGGCTCCATTTGTGTTTTTGTATTTGTCTGAGAGTCCCAAGCATGTTCAAAAACATCCTGTTGAAATATTTTGGCTGTAGGGCCTTTTGTGGGTGATACGGAGAGGTTCAGGATTTCTTTACCTCACATATTTGTAGTAGTTCTTTGATAAGTCCACTTTCAAAGTCACACCTCTGATCAGAGTGAATTCTGGCAGGCCAACCATTGTGCACAAAGTAGTTGTCCCATAATATCTTGGCTACAGTGGTAACACACCTATCTTTCATGGGAGAAGCACTTGTGTGTATCAAGTGAAATGATCTGTTACCACTAATATGATAGTGTTCCCTTTGTTGTCAGGTTCTAAGGACAGAAAATCAATATGCACAAGATACATGGGTCTCTTGCTTCGGATGTTAACTAACTGGGACGATGATGTGGGTATTGTCTTCCAAGCTACACATCTGTAAGCAATGCTTACAATATTCCTCTACATCTCTCGCTCCAATTGGTTTAGTCAGCCTTCCATCCCCCAGGGTTTGTCTAATTACAAGGCTCAACATCCTTGGTGAGGTGAGCACATTGCAATCTTCCCCTTCTCTCATTTATCCAGCAACAAGCTTGAATCCAGTTTTTGTCAAATCAATTAACTGAGTTACAAATACCTTACAAGACGCGAAGGAAGCTAAACGCTCAGGACAATGCTCAAACTGATGCAAAGTACTTCTTATATTATGTTTTCTCTTTCTGAATCTTCAATACACATGCCTGCATTACAAATGTGTTTTTAACCCCAGAGGTGCACACCAGCTCAACTGGGAGGGGTTGGGGGAGTGCCTGGGGTCAAGTGGGAGAGAGAAAGATTTTTTTTATATTTCAGAGAAATAAGTGCTGCCAAAGCTGATATTCTATTGGAGTGGATGCCTTTGTGAGCAGTGGGGGTGGAGAACAGGAAGTTGACCAGGAGGGATAGGCAGAGGAGAAGTTAACTGGGACAGGAAAGGGGTTGAGGCTGGGTGGGGGACCAACTTGGCTGATGGATGTGGGATTTAATATTTCAGAAAATGAAAAGCTGTAAAGCTTAATTTTTCCAATCATGGATGGCATTTTGAGCACTGGCGGGAAAGAGGGTGATAAAAGCCCAATAAACTTGGGAAATAATTATAATTCAAATCTATCCCAAATGGTAGCAGCCCTCAGGTACCTAGAATAGAAGTTGTCTAATCTCCATGTAAAGCTGAATTGTAATATAGAATATAATACATTGTGATAGAAGTCCCCTTCCCACTTTGATGCTGGTGTCTGTCTGAGTTTTGGAAGCTGTCTATTCCACAGGGTCTGCCTTGGGCTCTTGCATGGAGAAGAGATCTGGATTTCCAGGGAAATCTCATCCAAGTCCTGGTGGCAGTTGAGCTTGGTGCTGTACACAAAAAAAGGTTTGAAAGTGACCTTTTTGGCATAAATCCGATGCAGCTTGTGATGGTAAGAGCAGTTACTGGGAGCACTGCTGGAAGTTTTGTTGCTGTCCTTGTTTTTTATAATTCTGCTGGGGCTCCTTTCCTTCATGATGGTACGGGAACTGATCCTTGTCCAGCATTTGCTTTGTTTGATATATGCAGATTTATTTCCTCTCCCTGCTCTTGAGGTAATCCATGATGTGAGCACTGGTCCACATGGAAGCCCAAGACCCAGCTGCTATAATACTGAGAAGGATAAGAAACTCCAGGAGAGTGTTCTTGTAAATGGGGGCCACCTGTCTGAGTGCCAGTAAATAAAAAAGATGAGGCAATATACAGTCAACATGACCTCAGAGCAATAGAGTGCACACAGGTAAACACACAAGTGAATCCAGATGTGAGGCAATGCCCTGTAAAGTTGATCTGAAATGTGGATGCATCCACGCAAACCTTCTTCCAGACTAACTCATCCCAAAATGGACTTAATCCACGTTGATTGTCCAAATTCACAAAAAGTTGCCAGATAATTTAAAAAAAATATTATTTTGTGTCAATGTATTTTAATCCAAAAACCCTGCAAAAGTTAAGATGTAGATAGGCCCTATAGAGACCCTGAGAGAGGACTGTACTCCTATACTTCTGGCTGTACTCAGACCCAGGAGGGTTAGAAGCACATGGGGGATCCAGATTTCACAACCAATGAAATTAATGTGCAGCATTAATTGGTGGGTAATGAATCTGTGTTTTTGTATGGGTAACTGTGCTTTGTACGGTCTAAGCCCCTCCTGCTGAAGGAGCTCTTCTGAAATGTGTAGCCAGAGTTGGGACTGAGATGGCAACTTATATTAAGCTGCTGCCTTTTCTACATGTGGATGCTTTCTCGTTGTCTTCTCCTTTGCAGATTTCCTGATGGTGAACCTCACAGGCAGTTCACTCCAGTTCTCGCACTAATATCCACCTGAGCAGGAAAGCAAAGCATGAACCTGGCATGGAGACTGAGCTACCCTCTCCCACTGCTCAGGGTGATCCCTTCATGTCAGCGATGGGTCCGTGTAAGGAAGCTTGCCCTGCTTCTGTCAGCACTGTTCCGGTTTTGAGGACAATCAGTAGAGTTTGGGTTCTACTACTATCAATTCAGGGGCAGTAACAGTCCTTTAAAATTTTGTTTTCATAAAAAACATTTTAAAATATTAAGGAGAATTCTGACTAGAAATGTGAACTCTGAAGCCAATTCTTCCCCATTCAGGTAGAATTTGCCATCTTCTTATCCTTATCCGTATCTTATAGACTCCATGTGAGAGAAAAACCTATGTCTGACTTTCACAATCAAGCCTCATCCTGGCAGGATAAAGTAATGTATAATCCAGGCCCATATTTTTCACTCTTTAACAGTCCAATGCTTTTTGTCCTTTACATCAAAGGAAAATAATCATAATCCACAGAAAATATGAAATTTAAGCTATGAAAACCCGTCTCAGATTTGTATGATAATTTAAAAGTTGTTTGTTTTTTAAGAGTTACACATTTCACAACCACTTTGCACAATGATGCTACCTTTGTGACAAGTGGTCACGTGCTTTAATCAAAACTGATATATAGTTAGGGGGGTTGTTTTATGTTTTAAGTGCATGTATTTGCAATTGTGAATGTATCTGCTAATCAACAACTTTCAACTGACCTAGTACCTGTAAGCAAAACAAATTTTCCTTTCACACCTAGGAGGCAGCCTACTTAAATGTTATTATGGCATTTTTCTTAGGACAATCCAGTGCCTTTTGGCACAGACCCGAATAGGAGGGCCGGCCGCGCCCCGCCCCAGCTCCAGCCCCAGCTTACCTGCTGCCTCCGTTTCAGGCTTCCCGCGAACATTTGATTCGCAGGAAGCAGGGGAGGGGGAGGAGCAGGAGGCGGAGCATTCAGGGCAGGGGGCAGAGTTGGGGCAAGGACTTTGGGGAAGGGGCGGAGTTGGGGCAGGACTGGGGGTGGGGAAGGGGAGGAGTTGGAGCGGGGCCGGGGCCCTGTGGAGTGTCCTCCTTTTTTAAAATTAAAATGTGGTAACCCTAAATATGATAATGTTTAAATGAACAGGCTCTTGATCAGAAGTTCCCCCTAACTCATCTCCTGCTATACAGAATAATTCAGAAGCAGCTTGCAACAGTATAGGAAAAGTCAGACACCAGAGGCTCAGATAGCCCCTTATCTGTTACACTACTTTAAACCCAGACTAGCTCCCTTGAAGTCATTTCAGTCCCTGATATTGCACCAGCATAAATGAGATCAGAATATAGTTCAAGCTCTCTGAAAGGGACTCCATCTTGAGACACAGACTGCCATGGACATAGGTGAAAGTTACTTTTTCAGGGAACTTGAATGCCTTAAATAATATTCCTTTTTGTCAAGAAATAGTCTACTGCACTTTTTAGAAGAAGCACAAAGTGTAGGAGGACAACAAAATAACCCACATGCTGTGGGGATGGGACTCCTTAGGCCACTAGTAATTAGTTCCCTAAAGAGCCTGTCCCCATGACATGTAATTAGGATTAGTTAAAGCTCAGCACTTTGAAGATGTAAAGCATTCTATAAGAGCTAATTGTAGTGGATTGTCTATTACATTGGGAAATATATATTAAAATTTTTGCTTCTACTCATAATTTTAATCTAAAAAGGGAATAGACATTTCATGCTCATTTGTAAACGTGTCAGAGATGGCAAAGTTCTGAAAGCCATTTCATTATCTTAAATGAAAAAAAAATGAAGATTTTGATCATGTATTTGTGCAAATAAGTAAGCTATCGATGTGCATTTTTGTAAGAGACCATATTGTCTTTTTCTAAAAACAAAACAAAACCACAAAAGCTCCTTTTGCTTGTTTAAAATGTATAACAGAGCCTGAAAGTCCTCATACCAAATATAAAATGAAAACAAAAACAAAAAAACTTTATTCCCTGCTTTTTAAAGACAACTCAGGAACATCAAAGTGTTGTCTTTCTTGGTTTCATTTGGTGATGCATTAAAAGACCTGTACACTTGGGTGGGAGCTTTTTCAGCTCTTGACTGAAGGGGCAGAGGTACTGAAACTTTAGCAAAGACAGCCTTTCTCCCAAGTATTTGAGATGAATAGGTGTTAACAGATATCAAGTCTGGGGGAAAAAACCAAATCACTTCCCCTGACAGTTATTCATCTTTTTAACCTAATTTCATAATCCTATTATTTCTTTGGGGGAAGCACAGAGTCCTTCAGTAAAAATAAAATTGAAAAGTCCTGAGACACAGCAAGTTTTTTAAATTGTGAGAACTCCCTCCATTCCCTTTCCTTATCCCCAACATGTCAGGACATGTCAGGTCCTTCTTATACACCATGAGGAAGCAAAAAAGAGCACCTTTTTTTTCCTTTTTTTTTCTCTTTCCTTTAAAAGCAATTTGCCAAATTTATTTTAACACATATGAAAACCTGCACAAAGCATGAATAGTTAACAAAAGCAACCCACGCAAACTGTCATCTGCATTTGAAAATAAGAATGCACTTTCATAATACCTATGGTAATTATATATAATAGGATTTTAGTAAGGAGAATTATTATCATTTTAAGCTACTTTTCTCCTATTTAAAGATTTTTTTAAAAAATCATTTTCATTTTCAGTTCTTTTAAACATAACAAAAACTCCCTTATTTTTCCTCTGTTCCAAAGGTCCCAATATTTGGACATTCACCTCAGCTGTGTTGTGCTACCTGGGTATAAAAGTGCTTGAATAGGCTGCATTCCCTGTGGATGGAGTTTACATTTCTTTTCTATAGTCTTCTCTTTTACACTGGTGGCATGTAACAGAGATCAGAATTTGGTCACTCCGGTAAACCACAGGGCTTGGGAGTTCATCTTAAGGCAGAGCCTTCCAGGCAAGGTCCTTTTCCTTTCTCACTGGTGCATGTGTCACCAGCAGGTAAATTGTGTGCTACATCCAGGGTCGGCTCTAGGTTTTTTGCCACCCCAAGAAAAAAAATTTTTGGCTGCCCCCACACCCCAGCCCTGGGCTCTCTCTTCCACCCTCCCACCCGCACCTCTTGCCACCCCAGCCCTGGGCTCTCTTCCCCCCCCCCCCCAGCCCTGGGCTCCCCCCCACCAGTGATGACTCCGCCCGCTCCCCTCTCACCTCCAGCCGGTCCGGCACTGGCAGGGTCGGGGTAAGCAGCGGGGCTCCCGGGCCGCGCCTCAGCCCTGGGTCCCTCCATCCAGGGCTCCCTCCTCCAGGACTGGCCGGGACCCAGGAGGGCAGAGCAGGGGGACCGCCCTAGCAGAGGACTGAGGAGCCAGGGCAGGATAGCCCCAGAGGCAGCAGAGCCCCAGAGAGCGGGACGCGGGCCCCGCATGACAGCGCCCTGCCCTCTATGGCCCCACTGCTGCTGCTGCTTCTGGCCACCCTGCCACAGTCCCTGGGCGGCTTGGGCCGCTTCACCCAGCACCTGCTGCAACTCTGCGGGGCGGCCGCCCTGCGGCACCTGCAGGTGTATCCGTGTGCCCCGTGGGGTGTCCCCCAGCCTCAGCGTCCCCCGCTCGAAGCCTGCCCGGCCCAGCCACGAGGTGTGGGCACTGCTCCTCCACAGCGCGAACTGCAGCAGCCCCAGGGCGCCCCCCCGCGCATGACACGCTGCTGCCAGGGCCGGCTCTAGGCTTTTGCCGCCGGAAGCACACAAAAAAAATGGCCAGAATGCTGCCCTTGAAAATGTGCTGCCCCAAGCACGTGCTTGGTTTGCTGGTGCCTAGAGCCGGCCCAGGCTACATCTCCCCCTCTGTGACTCATCTGCAGATGGTGTGAGTCTGTTAGAGTCCAAGCTAGGGAGCCCCAGCTTTTAGCTCAAGCTGTAGCCACTCATGCTTTTAGCTTTGGCAGTCTATGGTTCAATCTCCAGTGCGTCAGCCAAGATGACAGCTATCACTCATGCAGTACTACTCCTGTTCTCTCATGGAGCTTCCCATACTGGAGAAGCAGGACTCTGTCAAATTGGTGTAGCAGCTCACTTTCCCTACCCTAGAGAGAACAGAGTGCTGGAGTCCTCCATGCACCTGATGACATGGGAGAGTCAATCCAGCAGTAATGTTAGCTGAGTTAGATAAACTCAGAGCTCAAACTGGCCATGCTGATTCACTCTTCTTGCACATGTTCCAGACCTTCAACTGGACACAGACTAAAGGGGCTCTCTTGCAAGCACCTTAAGCACTAAATGATCACTGAACATCATACCACCCATGCCCTAGATATGCTACTGCTATCATATCCTTTACTTCTCCTCCTCAGCAATGTCCTCTCTTTTTGCTTCCAATCCCCTTGTGTTCCCTTCACCATTCCTTGCGCTGTTCACCACATACTTTTTAACTGATGCTTTCCAAATTATTATGAGTCTTGCTAATCTCACCAACACATGGCAGCTCTGCTGCCTGGTACTGCAGAACTAAGAGATTTGGGCCTGATTCTGTACTGCCTTGCACTTTGTGTAGTCATTTACACCTCTGAAACATGAGTGCAAGATGCTATCAAATCAGAATGGGACATTTTACAGCAATTTTGCACACTTCTTACACCTGTTTGACTTCAGCGGGTTACTGCTGATTTACAGCAGTGTAAGTGAGAGAGGAATCGGGCCATAATCTTCAACGATACCCCCAAGACCCTCACCTAGGGTGACCAGATCACCCAAGACAAATATCGGGACGCGGGGGAGGGGGGGTGGGGGACGGCAGGGGGGGGCGTGGCGGGGGG